CTCTCTCTCTCTCTCTCTCTCTCTCTCTCTCTCTCTCTCTCTCTCTCTCTCTCTCTCTCTCTCTCTCTCTCTCTCTCTATGCCTCTGCTACCCCACCTTCGTCGGAGCCGAACTCGCCGAAGCCGTTGTCCACTGATCCGTCGGCTGCTCGTTCCCTCTCTTTCTCTGTCTCCCGGACTCTATCGTGGGTCAGCCAGTCGGAGTCGAGCTCGATCTGCCGCCCATTTGTCGTTCCCTCTCTCTCTTTCTCCCCTGGCTGTTGTTTCGTTACAATCAGTCGGAGTCGAGCCCGCTCACCGTCTTCTCTCTCTCTCTCTCTCTCTCTCTCTCTCTCTCTCTNCTCTCTCTCTCTCTCTCTCTCTCTCTCTCTCTCTCTCTCTCTCTCTCTCTCTCTCTCTCTCTCTCTCTCAACCTCTGCTACCCCACCTTCGTCAGAGTCGAACTCACCGAAGCCGCTGGCCGCTGGTCCGTCAGCTGCTCGTTCCCTCTCTTTCTCTCTTTCTCGGACTCTATCATGCCTCAGCCAGTCGGAGTCGAGCTCGATCAGCCGCTCATTCGTCGTTCGCTCTCTCTCCCACTCTCTCCCTCTCTTCCTCTGCCCCTGCTATGCCGCCTTCATCTGTTTCCGCAGACAGGGCAGTTCTCGTTGCTGATCAATCGGCCGCTTGTCCCTTCTCTCTCTCTCCCTCTTTCACTCTCCCTCTCCTTTTATTCGGTTGACGACCTCTCCCGGTCCGGAGCCCCTCTCCCACCGAGGTCCGCGACCTCTTCCTCTCGATCGGACGTCACCGGCCGACCTTGAGTCTCCGGGCATGGCCGTCTCCTCACAAGCTCCCTTCGGTCCCCTTCACCGAGCGTTGCGCGCGCCCAGCCTATTCTTTCCTCCCCCCCCCCTTTGCGTAGCTTGCGGTCTGGGTTCTGGGGGCCTCTCCACTCTCAACTCCGACGCACTTTTTGGGGAGCCACCTCTGAGCGCCCCTCTTTAGGAGCCCAGCCTATTCTTTCCTCCCTTCCCCCTTTGCGTAGCTTGCGGTCTGGGTTCTGGGGGCCTCTCCGCTCTGAACTCCAACGCCCTTTTTGGGGAGCCGCCTCTGAGCGCCCCTCTTTAGGAGCGCGGACGCCCCTTCAATATACTCTCGCCGCGCTCTCTTCCCCCGTACGCCCGCTCATTCGCCTTCCTCCTTGCTTGCCCTCTCTCCCTCTCTCCCTCTCCCTGAGCTCCCCCTTTCTCTCTCTCTCCGAGCCCTTGGGTTCCTGGGCGATCGCTAGCGTGGTGGATGCCGTCAGGCGGTCTCCGCGTCGCAAGCGCTCGCTTCGGACTCATGCGCCTCTCCCTAACTCGTACGCGTCCCTCCCCTTCTCTCTTCCCCTCTCTTTATACTTCCTGCCCGAACGATGTTGGCTGCCCTCCTCCCCGGTCACTTCGTGGCTTTTGGTGGCACGATCGAAGATTTTGCGAAATTTTTCACTTTCGCGAGCTTTCGCGCCTGATCGGACATTTCCGTTCTCAATCCTCCCCTCTCTTTTCCCCTCGAATCCTGCTTGTTGCTTGGTTTGTCGAGGGGATCTACATATCGCGGTTCTCCCCTTCTTGCTTTCGAGATTGCTCTCCTCCTTCTCCCGCTCCCGAGATTGGTCTCCGTCCCTCCTGCGGCATCCTTTTTCCTGGGCCTCGATCAGCTAGGATTCCAAAGTGATTCTGTTGTCGTCTTCATCTCTCCGCAGAGCTGGTCACACGGGACACCGATCCCCCTCTCTCACCCATTCTACCAATCCTCAACGTAGTCGCTCTCCCGTTGGATCCAAAAGCTTCCCTTTGCCGCCCCTCTCCTCGATAAACGGTTATCGCGATGCTCCACCGACATTCTCCCGCCGACGTTTCTCCTCCCCTACTTCTCCTTCTCCCTCCATTTCTCACCCTCCGCAGGGATGGATTTTTCCGTGCTTCCGGTCCTGGTACGGCTTGCCGACGCCGTTGCTCAGAGACGGTTGCCAAGAAGCTGGCCGCGAGCAAACCTCCCACCCAAATCTTATTCACTCACCTGGGAACTGACCGCCACAACCTCCAATCGCGACAGTCGAGGCTATGGCTCATCTAGCCTGTGTCATTCGTCCGTCCCCCCTGACAGTTATCAAATTTTCGAAGGACCGCGCGCCCCCTTTTTGGGCCGTCGTCTGCTACAACTTCTTTATCGACTCTTCCCAGCCTACGGCCTCTGCTCGATCCAAGTTACTTCCTTCACCAGCCAATCACCCATTCTCATGCTCTTGCATGGGATTCCCCCCCCCCCCTGCACCCCAATTTCATCCCTGAGTGGTTACACCTAAGCTTAGCTAGGCATCACGTGATCTGCCCCTTACGAGCTAGCCATGCAACTGTACTGCCAAGGGGCCCACCATGCCTCTGGACCTCCGGTCCATTTAGATCCAGCAGACGCTTGCCTCGTCATTCACACCATCGGGGGGGACGATCATCCCAACTTAAGCACACTGATTCTCTTTGACGCCGTAGTGATCTAACCGTAGATCGTCCAGATCCCTACTCTGTGTTGCCCCGCGTCATTGGTCCATAGCCGTTCAGCCGGCCGTCGTGTCTCGCCCACCTTACTGTGACCGATCATCCCACCATGTAGCGGCGCCTCAAGGCGAAGCCCCCACACCCTTGCGTCCGTACCCAAGCTCAGCCATGGCCCCGTCCTCTTCCCCGCGGCGGCCCGGTGGCTTCCGATAGCCCCGTCTCGTGCCCCCGTTTGGTTCCTTCGTCCCCAGCGCTTCAGTGCCCTGGTCCAAAGTTACCCCCTTTCTCTTGCCTTCTAAGAATGGGCCTTGAGAACTCCAATTTTTGTCGTCCGTGCAACCCCGCTCATGACCTGGCGTCGACTGCCCCCAAAGACCCTAGGATTGCCCCAAAAAAACCCTCAAGCCTCATACGACCATGCATCCAAACATAAAAAAAAAAGAAACATGCAATTTATTTATTTATTTTTTTGTGAAAAGAGTGCGCTCGGCTGGTAGGCAGCCACCCGACACCGCTTCCCCTTGTATTCACGCTCACAAAATTACGCCCTTTCTCCCAATGGAACTCTAAAACCCACTCCAACGCTTTCACGACTTCAGGATGTGGCAAACGACTAAACATATCCTTTATATCGAATGCGCGCACTGCAACAAACGGATGTCGTAGGCGTATCGTATTGTTGATCTTTTTCAGCCTCATGGTCAACTGCGATACAACTGGCAAATTGAAGTGGTAATCCCTTGGTAGTTTGGATAGCAAGAAGTTCAAACCCTCCGCCACTACCCTGCCTGTCCGGATCATGGGTTCCACATAAGTAGGGCAGATAGGGCGATACCGCGTCAGATCCTTATGTTTTGGAATAACATAGGATGACCCAATACGTTCCTTCTCGTCCCATTTAGCGAGAGGTCGTAATGCAACATTCTCTCTCTCAAGACAACACTCTTGTGTGCCTCTACGATCTTATTTGCAGGATTCAAAACAAAAGTCTGCATCATTGCTTCATAATAAAGCTTTGGACACGTGACAACTGTTTCTCCTTGGTTTCGATCAAGAGGAGTCAATACCATTCTTTCAAAAAGCTTCTCGGTTTCCAAAACTGCCTCCATGGGGAGGGCAGTAGGTAAGCACTCCCTATCACTCATGACGCAATCGATCAGCATCTTGGCAGTGTGATTGGTGGTGCATTGCCTTGAAGATTCCTCCAATTTTTTAAACCATCATGAATCTCGGTTCTCAACAAACCAAGACGATCCAAATTCGTTGTCTTCATAATATTGTTAGCATTTGTCAACATGGGATGTTCCACCATATCCTTGTTCAAGCGAAAGCGAACATGCCCGTCCTTTCTTGGATAGGGTAGGCCTGCGCATTGGCAGGTAAGCACATATGTCGGGCTGCGAAAGCCCGGTGGTTGTGTAGTAACTCGCCGACCGTCCATTTTTCCACCTAAACGATTCGAGTCTTCTTTCGTGCACGTCGCAAGAAACAAGTAGGCAGGTCACAGTTCATCATCACGTCGTTAACTACCTTACACAACTCAACCAATCTTAACCTGTCATGAAAATTCACCCTAATTAGTAGGTCAGAGCTTAGGCTAAAGGTCGAACTTATCTACGAACACCCAAAACAGCAATCTGCGAAGGTACTTCCGAGTTGATTTTTTCGTGAAATCCTTTATAACCTTGTGCAAGCGCAACATCGAGCGCATTCCCCACTTATATATGCTAGCAAGCCCCCTGCCATTTCTTAACAACGCAATCAAAACCTTCTTCTTCAGACTGCTGGCCTGTGGTTTCCAAGACCTCACATGCTCAATCCTAAAAACACCTCCTCCATCAAATTTCTCCTTACAATCCTTCAAGAGGTAAGTATCCGTACCATGTCTCATCATGGAGAACCAAAAGCGTTTGAAATCTTCCACGCCACTGGCAAACACTCCAAAGATACGTGAACCAACATCATCACTTTCCTTGAGAATTTACAAGAAGTTAAGACGCCAGTCATGGGAGGTCTAGACTCAAAAACATAACGGTGCAATCACGCGACAACTGCCTGCCAGATGTTTGCCCGACTTTGCCCGTTCGTGCTTACCTTTACTGCGCTTTCGGCTTGACACCGGAGGTATTAAGGAACGGGGACCATTGTTAAATCCACCGGGATGAGAACATAATTCTCAATACTGAACGTACTCAACCATCTATAAAAATGGTTAGACTTCGTGTCCGGCAAGCGTACAGGTGCTCATGCCAACGTACATCAAGATGCCTCGTGGTTTTACCCACATATTGGGACTACAGTACGGGGAAACTGCTACGTACACACATTCGGTAAGCTTCACGAAATTTGTCCCAAACTGATCATAAAGACGTAACCAAGAGTCCATGAGCTTACGGTTCCAACGAAGAATTTCTGATACTGATAAACATAAAATAGCTAGACGAAGTAATTCCTCCACCCTAGCGTCAACACCTTTACTTACTGCTCTCCACTTCGTAAGGCAACCAACAATTCTCCAAAGTTAAGGAATAGTAAACCCTCTTCAGCTTCCTTGTTCGCTTCCCCTCCGTTCCCTGCATCGGGGTCCGTTCCTTGTAAGGCCGCTTCCTCTTCCTCCTTGTCGGTACCATAAGCAACTCTTGTGCGATGGACAGCTATGTCGAAGATAGCTTCAGACTTACTGCTATAAGGAATTCCCTCTTCCTTGCACAAGTTCTGGAGCACGAGGGCATCAAGACACTTCAACTCATGCATCACCTGTTTTTTTTATTTCAAATGCCCCCGATTGAAGCCGAAATCTTCTTCTTGCAAATGGAACCAGGAGTCTTCTTTGGTGTAGGTGTCTTCGTTTGTTCCTGGCCTTCGATCTTCAGAAACCTTACTATAAGGTTGACTGGTCCACTCGTCTTCCGTGGAACACGCTTGGGAGGCAGCTCCATGGTTGGGTTCGTCTTCGAAGACAGGCTCTTCTCCTCGTTTCCTTTTTTCAATGATGCAGAGATTATGAGTCTTAGCACTCAATTCCTCCATTTCGCTGCTGCTTGCGCTGCTCTCAGACCCAAGGCTCGCTCGACACACCTTTTGTTTGCCCTTGGCCACTACCATGCAAAACTCGTTGACTGCTTCTTGTATTTCATGTTTAAACCACCAGTACTTGGCCCAGCTATTGAAGCCGAGCCTCAATATGCCCTGCGCGCCAATTTTTGCCGAGCCTGTGGGGAGTGGGAAAAAATACGCGACATCTGCTGCTGCAAGCAGGTACCGCCCCTTCCTTTAGACCTGCTGCCAGCAGATGGAACGTAAACAGGCCGTCGTTTTCTTGTTTCCATTCACGCATTCTTTTTTTTTTTTTTTTTTTTTTTTAAACTCACTCACGCATTCAACGCTCCCGTGAAGGATCTTCTTCTTCAAAAAAAAAAGCCAAAAAAAAAAAAAAGAGAGAAACGTGAACGCCGTGCAGAAGTGAAGCCAGATACATGCATCGAAGTTGCAACGTTACACTGCCTCTGGGACCTGAGGCAATGAATGCTCCCCGTCTCTCACGGGGAGCAAGTGCAGAAACAGCCAACTATCTTATTATCAAAAAAAAAAAGAAAAAAAATGAAAAGGGGGAAACGGGAAACAGGCATCTGAACGTGATTGGCCTGAGATTCATACAACGTCGTGCAGCAGTGAAGCCAGATACATGTGTCGAAGTTGCAACGTCACACTGCCTCTGGGACCTGAGGCATTGAATGCTCCCCGTCTCTCACGGGGAGCAAGTGCAGAAACAGCCAACGATCTGATTACCAAAAANGCCTGCGGGGAGTGGGAAAAAATACGGGACATCTGCTGCTGCAAGCAGGTACCGTCCCTTCCTTTAGACCTGCTGCCAGCAGATGGAACGTAAACAGGCCGTCGTTTTCTTGTTTCCACTCACGCATTCAATGCTCCCGTGAAGGATCTTCTTCCAAAAAAAAAAAAGCCAAAAAAAAAAAAAGAGAGAAACGTGAACGCCGTGCAGCAGTGAAGCCAGATACATGCGTCGAAGTTGCAGCGTCACACTGCCTCTGGGACCTGAGGCATTGAATGCTCCCCGTCTCTCACGGGGAGCAAGTGCAAAAACAGCCAACGATCTCATTACCCAAAAAAAAAAAAAAAACGAGAAGGGGGAAACGGGAAACCAGCATCTGAATGTGATTGCCCTAAGATTCATATAACGCCGTGCAGAAGTGAAGCCAGATACATTCTTCCCCCCTCCCCAAAAAAAAGAAAAGAAAAGAAAGGAAAGCAACCATCTATCTTTATTTTTTCCTCGTCCGTTTTCTTTTTTGTTTTTTTGCCTCCTTGCTACCACTGTCCGYGCGTTTCCACACCACCAGGACATCGTGCAGTCCTTTTGCCCCGTTTCCATGGGGCCACCAGCTCCCTCCCCCATTGCCATGCCAAGCCTTTGCCGAGGTGCGGGAAACGCGTAGCGTTAACGCTAAGGGCCCGCGGCCGATGTATGGGCCAAGTACTGGTGGTTTAACATTTTCCCTCACATCTTTGTGTAGCTCGCCAACTTGTATCGCCATCTTAATGTCCATACGTGTCTTCATTTCCTCCGCTTGCTCAACTTCTTTACGAGTCTTTTTCTCCTCCTTCCATTCAATCTCTCTCCGTTCGGCTTCTATCGTTCCATCGCTTCTTTTTCTCGGCCTTTTTCTGCTCCTTGGCCGCCTTCTCCTGTTCCCCCTTCAAGTGTATCGGATCGCTTGACGACATGCGTCGAGAATAGCTTTGGTCGTACCGTCTTGGTGAGATTGAATGCGCTTGTCTGGAGTCCGTCGTACTGTCTAGGTAAGATCGATCGCGCTTGTCTTGAGTTCGATGTTGTTGATAGTCCTTGGCTGGATTGTGAGCACGATTACTTCAATTTACTTGGTTACCTAGCTACATAGTGCAGTTGGTAATCTTCGGTTCGTGCAGAGTTACGGAGTTTGAAGGAGTTGGCTTTTAGCTACCTCGGTAACATTGAGGAACAGTCTTCAAGGCACCTTGAGGACAAGCTGCGAGGGCATCCAATGGCAGGGCAGGACGATCATCGTGACTACGGCCATGGAGAACAGCGCGGTTATGGCAGTGACTATCGGGGTTACGGGAGTGATCATCGTGATCATTCAGGGGATAGGCGCAGTTTTGGTCGCGGACTGAGGCGTGGACCGCCTACATGTTTTAACTGTGGGGAGCTGGGACATTATGCTTAGGATCCTGAACTTGTACGCGCCTAATGCAGAAAGCGAACAATTAGTGTTCCTCGACAACATGAAACCGCTCTTTCCGAGTCCCCTACCAATAATTATAGCGAGGTATTGGAATACGACATTGGACCCCAGTCTCGATCGCATCTCCCGATCCCTGCTGTTGCGCCCCACACGGAACCCATATCTGCAACATCATGACGGAGTTCGTACAGATTGAGCCGTTGCAAATTCTTCACCCAACGTGAAAGCCTTCTCCCTAATCAAAAGAAATCGAGTAAATCGTATGTCACTCTCGCGGATCGACTTTGTCCTGATCTCCGAACTCCTGCAGGACACAGTCAATGAGGCCAAAATTTTGCCAACAGCCACATTCAAGGGACTGGACCACAAACCCATCTACCTGCTCCTCAACTTCAACTCCCTAGTAGAAAAAGGCCAAGGCTTCTACAGACTAGACAACTCCCTCCTCTCCACAGACCGTCTGACAGAGCCAGCCAGATGGAACCGGCTGCTCATGCAACAAGAGGAGGCGAGGGGCCACAACAGACACCAATGGTTTATAGATAGGTACGCGGACCTGTCCCATACCGTCTCAGCCGAGTCAAGAAGCATAGCGGCATAATGCAAAATCAGAAAGGAGGAACTCCAAATTGCCATATCCATCGCGGAAGATAACCTTGCTACAGATCCCACTAACAGTTTCTATCATAACTTACTCACATCCACCAAGGATGAGTTGAACGAATGGAGAAGATGGGATTTAGGGGCTTACAACTACGTGCCAGAATGACCAACTACAATCTCAACGAATCCATGACAAATTTCTCCTTTTCTAAAATCAAGGCCAATGCTAATGCAAAATCAGAAAGGAGGACCTCCAAATTGCCATATCCATCGCGGAAGATAACCTCGCTATAGATCCCACTAACAGTTCCTATCATAACCTACTCACATCCACCAAGGATGAGTTGAACGAATGGAGAAGATGGGAATTTAGGGGCTTACAACTACGTGCCAGAATGACCAACTACAATCTCAACGAATCCATGACAAAGTTCTCCTTTTCTAAAATCAAGGCCAATGCTAAAAACCACACGATCAAGAGGCTGAAAGACCCAGCGGACAAGGGCAATATGAAATTACTCAGCACTGGCATGGTAAGGATCGCCATGTCTTTCTACGCCGACCTCTACGAGTCCAAGACCCCTTCCCCTCCTCCCACAACGAATACCATCGCTCGCCAACATATGATGTATCACCTAGACAGGAGGATCACACAGGAGCAAATGGAGGACCTAGACAAACCAATTACCCCGGGGGAACTTCAAGCAGCCTTATCCCAAATGGGGAACGACAAGGTACCAGGAATCAATGGCCTATCCAAAGAGTTTTGGGTCAACTTCTGACCGATAACAGGGAACCACCTCCTTAACTTCATCAATGACATCAAGGAGAAGGGTGGTCTGGGTCAATTTTCAAGCACTAGTGTGGTGTCTCTAATCCACAAGAAAGGGCACAAAGAAGACCTTAAAAACTACAGACCGATCTCCTTTTTTTGTTTTAAGCCCAGGTTGTTGTAGAGGTGGGATCCTCTGTTCCCTCGTATGTCCCTGGAGCCCGTTCCAGCCACGACACCCTCGACATCCTATACTAAGGAACTGCTATGCCAGCCTCAACCCTATGCTACGTACTAGGAGGATAGCCAACCCTAGGTCATGAGTTATGGACTGAGTTGCTTATCCTTATGTTGTCTTTACTACAATGTTCTATGGTGTTGATGGTAGAGAGATGGGGATCCTCCGTTCCCTCGTATATCCCCGGAGCCCGTTCCGGCCCCATGGTAAGGTGCAATATCTCCTGACACCCTCGACATCCGTACTAAGGACTGCTATGCCAAACTCAACTCTAAGGTGCGTACTAGGAGGATAGCCCACCCTCAATCGTGAATCATGGACTGTATGTATTGAACCTAGATAATCTATTAGCCCTGTGTTGTATGGTAATCTGAGAGCAGGCAATCCTCTGTTCCCTCGTATGTCCCTGGAGCCCATTCCGGCCCCGTGGTAAAGTGCAGTATCTCCTGACATTCCCGACATCCCGTACTAAGGAACTACTATGCCAGCCTCAATCCTTTGAACACGTACTAAGAGGATGACCAGCCCTAAGTTACTGTCTGGTATCGAACACAGGACCATATCTGAATCGTGCAAGTGACCTAACCTATTGACCTACACTGTGAAATAGTCTGTAGTTGTGCTCTGCTGGGCTCGAGTAAACTGGACTATGCAAGCCACCCAGCAGTCTCATGACTAACCCGTAGACCAAGAACATCAGGATACCTAGCATCGCCTAGTCCCCACATACAACAACCATGGGCTACCCCTTGGGTGGTGCGCAGGCAATGTCTGTAATAACTTACCTGCGTCCTCCCAAGGGGGTGTATCTCTAGCCGTGCGTCATTCTAACGCCCTGTCGGTGTCCATGCGCAAGGCTGCGGAGTTTTGAACCCACAACCTCATACCACAATGCGCATTTCCAACTGGTGCTCTAACCGCTGAGGGCCTCGCCGCACCACTGTCGAAAATGCGATTTTTTTCGACAGTTCCTCTTCGCCACTCAGGCTGTCGAAGTCGGAGACGGGAAGGAAATTTGCAAGTTGTCAGAGAATGCTTCTCGACGCCTCCTGTCGAAAGTTCTTGAATCCCCAGCCTGCAACTCTGATGCTTTCGACACTCCTCGGCTGCGCCGTCGACTTCGCTTCGAAATTGGTGAGTGGGGGTAAGGTCGGGATGGACTGATGCTTGTCGTACCCTCAGGCGCGTTCGTCTTTTCCCATCTTACTTTCACCAGTGCGTGCACTCTACAGTGCTGTGTCGCAAAGAGGGCGCAAACTGTCGAATGGAGGCTGTTGAATTTGTTATGACAACCGTCAAATTTTTTGGCCTTTCGACTGTGGTGTGGCGAGGCCGTGAGCTCCATCAACTCGACAACAGACCGATCTCACAGACAAATGTTTTCACACTGACCAAGCACGATTCATTCTAGGACGGTACATACTAGACAATATGATGGCAGGCAGCAAAGAAGATCACAGGAAAACAAATGCAGGCTGCGATCCTGTTTTTTGACTTCGAAGAGGCCTATGATTAGGTCAACTGGGATTTCCTCCATAGTTGTATGGAGAAGATGGGAGTTGGCCCATACTTCAGGGATTGAATAAGAGTGCTCTACGGAGATGCCACGGGTAGAGTCCAGATAAACAAAATACTGTCAAACACTTACCCGACATTGAGATCCGTTCGCCAAGGTGACCCTCTAGCACCCCCAATGTTTTTGTTCATCATGGAAGCCATAGCCTCCTTCCTCCGCAAAGACCCCTCCACAGACTGCCTCACCAAACAGAACTACAGTCCCCTCCACGACTTCACCCTACCCACGACGCTGATGTTCGGCGACGACCTCACGGCTCTCATCCGCACAAACAACTCCTTTCAGGCCCTGGTTAGAGCTATGGAAGCCTTCCGGCTCGCATTAGAAATGAAGGTGAATTGGTCCAAAATGGAAGGTTGGTGGTTAGCAGAAGGCACCCCCCCCCAACCCTCGGACCTATCCAACCCAATGTCATGGTCCACGGACGATCAAGAACTTCGGTATTTGGGCATTTGGCAAGGGATGACAAAGATGGCATTTGGCAAGGGATGGCAATGATGGCATTTGGCAAGGGATGACAAAATGGCATTTGGCAAGGGATGACAATGATGGCATTTGGCAAGGGATGACAAAGATGGCATTTGGCAAGGGATGGGGGAGAATCTTATCGTCAGAGCAATAACCTGCCTAGCTCCTTGCAAGAAAGCCCAGACTTCCTTGCTGGGCAGTGCACTAATCATTAACACGACAATATTCTCAACGTTGTGGAACATGGCATCCATATGGTCCCCGCACGATGACGACCTAAGGAGCCTGAAGGCCAGGGCCAGATGGTTCCCGTGGACCTGAGACCCCAACAGGACCACCTGCATAAACAAAGTGGCCTGGCAAATCGTCATCAGAAAACTGCACAAACCCAAAACAGGAAGCAATCGCCCTTCAAATGAAATGGATAGTCAAGATCCTAACCAACGATCACTTCCTTGGACTAAACTGGCCTTAGACAACATAAGGAACCTGGCACCTGTAACATCTCCACCTAACATGAGCGACCTATTCGGGATCATGGCCAAAGACTGGTCACTCAAATCAGAGATATCATCCGCAAGGAAAACCCAGCAAGCATGGTCCACTCAGCCCAATCCCACACCCAACACTTACTGGACACCAGTTGAGAAGGCCTAGTGCCAATTGATGCCAAACAAGAGAGGGGCTCCGAGCAACAAAGAGGAAGTCCTAAGGCAGCCCCAGACCAATCAGAATCCGTAGCACGCAGTGGCTCTTAGCACAAGCAGCCCTCCCTGTCAACCAATGGCTTCACGAGAGAAGGAAGCACTCGGACCCAGACAGCTCAGAATCATGCGCACTGTGTAATAACAATGTACCGAAAGACATCCCCCCATTGCCTCCTCTTCTGTCTGGAAGCGACCTGGATCTGGAACAAGGTTCTGGAACTGTGGTCGATCCTCTTCTCAACACCCCCCCCCAACATTCCCCCTCTAACTATCCTACTCCTCGCTAACACCCCCAGTAGCATCAAGGGCAGCAGGGAAGTCTGGTTCAATCTGCTCAGGAAATGGGCACTCTGGGTCATATGGAAACGCAGATGCACACGGACAATTGAGGGAGCAGAGGTGGCACAGGAAGAAACGTGGGCTTTATTGCTGACCATGGTGGAGACTGAAATCTGGAGAAGATGGAGAAAGATAGCAGCTTCTCTGAAACACAGACCAGAAAGACAATCAAGCAAGAGACGCACATTCCTGAGAGACTGGCTTCTAAAGGGCAAGGACGCCACCCTAATAGATAACAGGCTGAGATCGAAGAGGTGATACCAGGCCCAGCCATAAGAGTATGTCAAGCCGAGAACCCAAGGAAGAAGGAATATTACAATGAGCAACAGCAGAGACCGTCGGATGAACGGGAGAAGAGCAAGACTCCAGGAACACAAGCGGAAGCAGATCCTCCCACTTTTCTTGTTTTGCATAGATGTTACATGCACAGATCTGCAATGTACGTAATAAACCGAGAATCTGCAATGTGATGAGAAGCACAGAATAGACAATGCGGTACGAGTAGAATCTCGACAAGCAATGTACAATCTCATTCATACATAAAGATGCTGAAGAGCGCAGGGAAGACTTTGATACAAAGACTGACCTGACAGGACTGACCTCATTTACGTAGTTCAGAGTAACGAAGCAGAATGCTAGAGTACCTCTAACTAGCCCAATCAATGTTCRAACTCAGACTAAACATGCATTGTACCCATCACAAAGTGTGAAGGAGCCTGGCGCTGCACACAGGAAGAAAGCGCCACGTCCAGACATACATAGACGAAGAGATAAGGATCAGATGAAAGGAGGGAAGAAGATGGGAATGTCGTTAACACCAAGTCTTGGTCACCAATCCCAAATAGTCCCTCGTTGTCATGTCTGAACCCTCGAAAGTCGAGTCTGGATCAAATGTCACCAACCTCTGTATCTCTTCTCTCATAGTCTGCAGATGCAGTGAAGTCAGAAGTGAGAGGGAGAGAAGAGATAGTGGACTGAGAAGAAGAAGAAGAAGAACTCTCTCTCTCTCTCTCTTTGTTACGAACCAGATACTAACCTGTGGTGTTGGCGCTGTGCTGCAGGTACCTCGAAGACGAAGCTGGAGCAACGGCGCTGCAGGTAGGTACCTCTGGCTTCTGCCCAAGCTCTCTCTCTCTCTCTCTCTCTAGTACTACCTAGCTATGGCACCCAGCGCTGGAGACTACAGCTACCTACTGCGCCCAACGCTGAAGACTACTAGCTAACGCTACTACTACCACAACGCAGCGCTCCCTCCAGAGTGCTGCACCCGAATCCTGAAGACTACAACTACCAACTGCCTACCTCGGAAGTGCCTGGGAAGTCCTATGTACTACCTCGGCCTGCCTCCTGACTACTGGAGGGCAGTCAGGCCGAGGAGGCAGCTCTTGCCAATGCCGAAATGTGCCAGGGGCTGGCGTGCAGCAGCCTGCTTGAAATTGGCGTGGGAAACATACTATAATAGTCTGTTTCCGAAATCCTGGTTCGGTGCCTGAGTTTCAGGGCCGGTCGTTCTGATGAACGACCGAAAATGGCCCTTCGTTTCAGGCTAAAAAGGCTGTTGCCATTTTTAGTCTGAAACGACCAGGGATAGGCCCTGGACTTCAGGCTTTTGGCCTGAACCGACAGGGGACCTGTAAGCCCTGGATTTCAAGCTTTCAGCCTGAAATTCAGGCTTTCGGCCTGAAGTTCAGGCTTTTGGCCTGAACGCTGTCGGGCCTGCAAAATGGCCGTCGGGCCTGCAAAATGGCCGTCGGGCCTGCAAAATGGCCCGTGTGTGCACGCGCTGCATGTAACACCCCCTTCTCCTTATGAAGTCAAGCCGGGGCGAGGGTGAAGCCGTCGATCTGAAGGTGGAACCTGGACGCGAGCGTAGCGTGGAGCCGAAGAAACCAGCTTGCCTTGCATCTTGCGTTCGTAGCGTGCGAGAACGTCTGGAGCTGTCGCTTGCAGTTCCGCACAGGTTAACCAACGGTCAGCTCGATGTGTGCAGTAGGCAAAATGCACCAAATACTCAGTTGGCTTGTTGCCAAAGCGTCGCTGGGAGATGATGTCGCCGACCTCCTGAAAACCATCCATAGAAGGTGGGTCTTGCGTCCGTCTCCCGGGAAAGTTGTCATGATCCGCTGGCGTGTAGAGAGCCAGTTTGGAACAATGAAAGACTAGGTAGACAGGCAAGTGGCTAGGCACCTGAATCGTGAAGGAGGGTCCTTCGGGTGCGTCCCCAGCGGGCTCTATGATCGGCCAGGGCCCCATCCATTTCGGGAGGAGCTTGCGAGAGACGTCTTGTTCAAGGCTGAATTTCGCTGCTGAAACCCAGACGAGGTCTCCGACGCGGAATGGACAAGGAAGACGCTGGCGATTTGCCTGTTGGCGCATGCGCTGTTGCGTCTTAGCCATCTGGTCGCGTGCCTTGACAAGAAGCTCTTGCATCCGACGCAAGAAAAGAAGATGGTCGTCACTCTCGGCCGTGCGTGGAGTAATCGTGTCCAACGGTGACGTGACCGGCGAGACGTGCTCGAACTCGAAGGGCGATATCCCAATAGCCGGGTGGATGGAAGAGTTGTAGGCCAACTCAACGTCCGGCAGTCGCTCAACCCAGTCTTTCTGGTCGGGGCGGATGAGAGTGCGAAGGAGAACCTGTGCGGTCTGATGCGCCCTCTCCGTCTGGCCATCGGTCTGAGGGTGGCGAGCTGAACTGGCCTTGAGAGATGAGCCCTATCGCTTGATGAGCGCCAACCAAAAATCAGACATGAACCGAGTGTCGCGATCGCAGACGATCTCCTTGGGGTAACCCTTGGTGCGAATCCAACCGGCGTACAGAACCTCGGCCAACTCCGGTGCCTTGGCATGATAGCGACAAGGCAAAAACATGGCGAACTTGGTGAGTCGGTCGACCACCGTGAGAATCCCATCCACTCCGGTCTTGTGCTTGGGGAACGGGCCGGTGATGTCCATGGCAATCGCTTCCCTTCGCCTCAACAGGACTGGCAATGGTCGTAGCTCGCCGTACGGACGATGGTTGCGGGATTTGCAGCGTCGACAAACCTCGCATGACTCGCAATAGCGCGTGACGTCGCCGAGAAGGCCGGGCCACCAAAATCGCTGGCGAAGCCGGCCAATCGTGCGATTGACTCCAAAATGTCCGGTGGCGGGAGAGTCGTGGAACTCGCCAAGAAGCCGTGTATGCAAGCGAGGATCACTTGGTACGCAAAGAACGTCCTTCCCCCGCGTGTGGACAAGCAAATACCCCTCCTGGATCCAGTAGTGAGAAGGAGCCGGATTAGGTGAGGAGCAATTCGCGTACTTGTCGCGAAACTCGGGGTCGACTTGGTAGCCGCGGATGAAGCTGTTCCGCAGTTCATCGTCAATTTCGAAAGTCGAGTAGACCGCGGTACAGTGATCCGGACGCCGTGAAAGAGCATCCGCAAAACGGTTCGACTTCCCGAGAATGTGATCGTGAAAGAAGTCGAACTGGTCGATGAAAGCCATCCATCGAGCGATGGTGCTGTTGATGGTGTCTTCGGTCTTGTAGAAGACCAACGGATTGTTGTCTGTTACCCAGCGAAATTGGCTTCGACCAAGGAGGAAGTGCCGCCACCGCTTGARCGCGTGGACGAAGGCGAGGAGCTCCTTCTTGCGTGCATCGTCAATGGAATGCATGAGTGGCACTTTCTTGCTGAAGTACTCGACCGGGTGCCAGTCCACACCATCATGTTGCTCGAGGACTGCACCAATGCCATAGCCTGACGCATCCGTAGTGACACGTGTGGGCGCGAGCGGGTCGTATATCCGCAAGACCTCCGCAGACAATAGCGCGGCTTTGAGAGCGAGGAATGATCCCCCCGCCTCCTCTCCAAAGTCAAACGGCAGGTCCTCGCACTGAAGCTTGTTCAAGTGGGCCGCGATCTTGGAGTAGCCCTTGATAAAGCGCTGATAGTAGCCGGTAAGACCGAGGAACGAGCGGACATCCGTGACGTTCCGAGGCTCCGGCCACTCTTGGACGGCCTGAATCTTRTCYGATAGCGGACTGATGCCCTCCGGTGTGACAAAATGGCCCAAGTATTCCAGCTCTTGCCGGACAAATTCGCACTTGTCGCGGTTGGCCTTGTACTTGGCACGGCGGAGCGTCTCCAACACTCGTCGAAGATGTCCAAGATGATCCTCCAATGTCCGGCTGTAGACGAGAATATCGTCCAAGTAGAACAGTACGAACCGGTCCAACATTGCACGGAACTCGTTGGTCATCGCCGCCTGGAATGTCGTCGGGGCGTTGGTGAGGCCAAAAGGCATGACCACCCACTCAAAATGCCCGTACCGCGTCTTGAATGCGGTTTTGTAGCGATTTTTCGGCTGAATCGAGATTTGATGATATCCTGATTTCAAATCCAACTTGGAAAAATACTTCGCACCGCCCAGACGCTCGAGGCGTCGATGCGAGGAAGAGACCCCGCATTCTTGACGGTTTGCGCGTTGAGCTTGCGGTAGTCGATACACAATCGTAGATCCTTGTTCTTCTTCCTGACGAAGAAAACTGGTGCTCCATATGGGGAGCTACTCGGGCGGATCCAGCCCTTGGCCAACAAATCATCAAGTTGTGCGCGGAGTACCTCAAGCTCCTCCTCGCTCATCCGATAGATGCAACCTTTCGGCGGCACGGCACCGGCCTCAAGAATGATCTCGTGAGAGATCGGCCGACCCGGCACCACACCGGTAGGTGACTCGAAGATGTCGGCGAACTCGTCCAGCAACCGTATCAAACGGGGGTCTGAAGACAAGTTCGTGGGTGAAGAGTCGGCTACCGCGACGGTCCGTAGGAAACATATGCCGATCTCCTCGAGCTGCTCGTAAGCACAAGTCGCCCGGAATGATTTAGCCGTTACCACTTGGCACCGGATTGAAGAGTGCGGTAGAGGAATAGTACACGCCACTTCCGCGCCGAAGGCATCGCGAACGCTAAGAGTCCGTCGATGGAAGTTGACCATGTGATCCGCACTTGCGAGCCAAGGCATTCCCAGAATGATGTCGAAGTCCGTGTCGAGAATATCGAATGTCACCGGTTCGCATGCATGAGGTGCGAAGTAGACCGGTACGGCCGCGATGTAACGGTCGAGAAGTTGTTGTGTCTTACCATCCGCCAACTTGATCGCCATCAGGTTTGCCTTTCTCTGAACTTGTGCGTCAAGGCCAGCTCTTTGCATAAAAGACTGACTCATGAAGTTGCGAGTCGCGCCGCTATCCAGCAAAGCGCTGCAGGACGCTTGCCCAACCTGGATGCGGACATACATGAGCGGTGCATTGTTGTTATCATACCGCTGCGTGCGAAACTCGCGTGCCACCTTGGTAAGGTACGCCAGGATGTCCCCCACCGCGACTTCGTCATCCGTCGGCGAAGTTCGTGGTGCATAGAAGGAAAGGTAAGTGTGGAGATGAGCGCTAAGTGTTGCGCATTACGGTCCCGACAAACAGCCTGTGGTCGGGAGAGGAAGCCATGCAAAGTCCTCAGACGTGAGCGGGTCCAAAACCTCTATCTTGAACTCGCGCGCCGAATCCCGTGATGAACCACTTGAAGACGATATGTCGCTGTTGCCGGACGGAGAAGAAACCGCATACACTCCTTGTCCTTGAGCTTGAGTACCCAGCGTTGGAACGAGTCGGGCAACATAGTCCTCAAAAGAAAGTAGAAGCGGAGGATCGTCGACTTCCGCGTGCGCCTCAGAATGAAGGCTGGTCACTCGCGAAGAAACCAGTTCCGAAGGCGTCGAGAGTGTCGTCGCATCACTCTCGGCGGTGCTCAGCTTCCCTGTCAACCCTTGCCCTTCAGTGGGCAAACCGGGGTCAGATGAAGATCGTTGTTGCACCACAAGCAATAATGGAATCTCTCGCTCGCCCCAATGGGCCTGTCTGAGCTGCTGCACCGGGCCCGGGGCTAGAAACAGTGTGTGTCTTCGGCTTGCCTCGCCCTCGGCCTCTGCCGGCGCGGCCACCTTCCCGGGCCTCTGGCGGCTCCACTTGGAACCGCTTGTGCCACGCCGCCTTCAGATCATCCCAGCTGATCATGGTGTGCAAGTCCGCTGCTACCACTCCGTACTTGGACAACAAGTTGTCCAACCATGCCTGACACGCGCCCCCTGAGCGAGAGTACAAGTAAGCGCGGTGCTTGTTTTCCTTGACGTTTTGGAGCTGCAGCATGAGCTCGAACTTGCGAAACCATGGAATTGGATCTGTCTTGATTGAGTCGTGGAAGATCTCCTGCCCATCGAACTTAGGAGCTGTGTCTCGCGGCTCCGGACTCGAGGTAGTGGCGGTAGTGCAGATCCGTTGCTGCAATTGTTGCGTCGCGGTCTGYTGTAACTGTGCGCCATCCTGGAGGGAGCCGATGTGCATCTCCAATGCGGTGAGGCGGTCGGCAGTATTGGAAGAGCCTGCGTCAGTGGCAGCGATTGTTCGCTGCTCCACCCGCTGAAGGCGGTCTTGGACCTGAGCTACCGAGTTGTCGAGACCAAGGATCTCCGCCTGCTGTGTAATGCAGGTTGCCAGGAGATCCGTGAGATGCGAGAGGAGGAGCGCTATCTTGTTTGCACTGTCCTCCAACTGGCTATTCTCGGCCTCGCTTCGCCATTCTACTGCCATGGTAAGTAATGCCCGCGCTCCAATGACTATCTTCTCACGACGCTGTGTCGTTTCTTCGTCGGCAGCCCTTGCTGCTGCCTCGTCGTGCTGGCGCTGTTGTTGCACGGCCAGCAGACGTGCCTGCTCGGCATCCTCTGCCCTTTTCTTGGCTGCTGCGGCAGCGTCATCTGCTCGCTTCTTTGTCTCGGTACTCCAGGCTAACATGCGGGCCTGATAGGCCTCGTCTGTTTCCCCGGCCTTCTGGTCCATGACTGCTGTCTGTGAACGCAACAGCATAGGCCAGACCGATGCCTGTTGATGTGGTATCCCTTGCTGCTGACGTGGCAATGCTGATGTGTCCTGCTGACGTGGCAATGCTGACCTGGCCTGCTGACGTGGTCTGCTGACGTACTTACGTAGCCTGCTGACGTAGCCTGCTGACGTGTCCTGCTGACGTGGTCTGCTGACGCGGCAACTTACCCATTCCGTCACAAGGGGTACCTGGAGACAACCAGAAACGGCAAGGCGAGAGATGGCAACAACATAGGTGGGGAGGGGTGGGTGAGCTAATCGCCCAACTCACACTTAGATAAGGAGCCACTAATCAAAATAGAAAAGTTTGAACTTTGCCAAAAAAAATTTGAAAAATAAAAAATCCCGATTTTTGCAAGTTCGGTAGGTCTCCCAATCTCCCTCGAAGTACGAAATGATCTCTGAAAGCGAAAAAAAATTCGACTTTAGACTGCAACTGATTGATAGAACCAACTGCGAAAAAAGTCCGAACCGAAATGACAAATATTCGGATTTTTTCCGATGGGAATATTCGCAGTTTGAAAAAAATAATATGTGCAGGAGGTATTTCCCGTACCGTTTTCAGAAAAACGAATTTCAGAAAAGAAGATATTCCGAAGTTCTAAGTACGGGAAATGCAACAGAAAATCTAAATTTTCAAAAAGAAATATATTTCGGATTTTTAACAACGAAATTTTGACTTTTCAGAAAAAAAAACGAAAATAGGAATTTCAGATGTTGCGATATAGCGATTTTCCACAGCAGAATAGCGAGAAAATAAAATCCGATAAAAGAAAAAATTTTGATTTTTTTTTTGGTAGTAAGGTCAAGATCGTGATATTGGGGTCTAACTAGTATGTCCTAATCAACAGAAAAGACTAACTAGCTTTTTTGATCCTCGCACACGTGTCAGATCAGATAGTCCTGATTCACATGCAAAAGCTCCGATACCAACTGTTACATGCACAGGTCTGCAATGTACGTAATAAACCGAGAATCTGCAATGTGATGAAAAGGACTGAATAGACAATGCGGTACGAGTAGAATCTCGACAAGCAATGTACAATCTCATTCATACATAAAGATGCTGAAGAGCGCAGGGAAGACTTTGATACAAAGACTGACCTGACAGGACTGACCTCATTTACGTAGTTCAGAGTAACGAAGCAGAATGCTAGAGTACCTCTAACTAGCCCAATCAATGTTCAAACTCAGACTAAACATGCATTGTACCCATCACAAAGTGTGAAGGAGCCTGGCGCTGTAACACAGGAAGCAAGCGCCAGGTCCAGACACTGTCTCTTATACACATCTAGATGTGTATAAGAGACAGGTACTACCTCGGCCTGCCTCCTGACTACTGGAGCGCAGTCAGGCCGAGCAGGCAGCTCTTGCCAATGCCGAAATGTGCCAGGGGCTGGCGTGCAGCAGCCTGCTTGAGGCTGGCGTGGGAAACAGACTAATAATAGTCTGTTTCCGAAACCCTGGTTCGGTGCCTGAGTTTCAGGGCCGGTCGTTCTGATGAACGACCGAAAATGGCCCTTCGTTTCAGGCTAAAAAGGCTGTTGCCATTTTTAGTCTGAAACGACCAGGGATAGGCCCTGGACTTCAGGCTTTTGGCTTGAACCGACAGGGGGCCTGTAAGCCCTGGATTTCAGGCTTTCAGCCTGAAATTCAGGCTTTCGGCAAGTTCAGGCTTTTGGCCTGAACGCTGTCGGGCCTGCAAAATGGCCGTCGGGCCTGCAAAATGGCCCGTGTGTGCACGCGCTGCATGTAACAATAGACCTACCTGACAGAGCCCCAGGTGGGGGCCTGAGAGGAACAAGCGGGCAGGACAAGCTGACAGTCAATCCTCCTCCAGGGGAGCAATCAATGCTGGTCAGGGGTCCTCGCCCATACGGAAGGAAGCGTGAGCGTGTAGTATGTTGTATCCAATTTTGACTTGCCGGGGGAATAGGAATTGGACTGACGGGTCTGTTCTGGATAATGTTTGGAAATTGGGCAAAGGTTGGCACCAGGGATGAGAATATTGCAAGCCAGGAGGAGGTAGCTCGGTCTCCCTCTTATTGGGTGCAGCTCGTAAAGTTGTGGAAGGAGATCTTCCCTGCAAGAGTCAAAGAGCCTACAACAAGGGAAGAAGTGCTCAAACAACCATTATTTTGCAATGCAAGCATTAAGGACAGTGAAGGGAAACCGCTGACACTATCGGTAACAGACACGAGGTGGGGAAGATGGCTGGAGCATGGGGTATGGCAGATCAAGCACCTCTGGGAAGAAGGGGAAAGGAGATGGAAAACGGCCGCAGAACCAAGGACACAACTGAAGGGATGTCACAAATTGCCGGAAAATCTGGCACTGGTGAAGAGGGCCATACCACAAGCATGGGAACAGTTGCTGCTATCTGAAAAGCAATGGGATACGGGAGACTAAGCCACATGGGAGAGGTCTTCAGAATATGGGGCTTGGAGACCTCTATGCCCGACTGGCTAATGGCAGAGAAGTATGACATACTTCATCCTTCCAACACCACGTCCCCATTGGATATGGCCACCAAAACATCCTTGAGCATCCTTAAACACTACTTACGTAAGGTGAGGGTGATAGAGAGGTTTTCACAGTATACAACTCAACAGTACCAATTGAGGAACTGGAGGTAGACCCTGCGGAATGGGCAAGGAACATCAGAAGTGGTCAAACACGGGTGATCCACTCCTACTCCATGACTCCCACTCTGCTCAAGCGATGGAAGAAGAGAGTGGGGGTCACCACAGGTCAATTGTCAAAAATTCCATGGGCAAGAATAGTGGCCATAAGGCTGGGTCCAGTCAGGAGTATGCAGTGGCTAATAGCCCACGTTGCACTCCCGGTGAATGTCTGGCTCAACGAAAGAAGAAGTCACAGGCAGAGAAGTGCGGAGGGAGAGATCTGTACGGTATGCCAACAAGGAATACCAGAAACAATGTTCCATTGCTTATTGGAGTGTGAGGAAGCATCGGCGATGTGGGATGAAGCCAAAGACATCCGGCACCAAATGGTACACAGTCCCTTCCCGGACTTTAATATCACATTATTACTGGGCCAGCGGATTCCCAAACAGTGGAAACCCTTTCAGAAACATATTTTCTAGTTACTACGCCAATATAGTCTTTGGACCATTTGGAAGCGTCGATGTCAAGCCACAATGGAGGGAACAACAATGCATAGACAGGAGGCGAGAGAGAATTTCCTCGTACTCATCGAAACACATCTCAAGGCTCAGTGAAAAAGGGTGAGAACTCAGATACGACAACAACCACAACACGAGAAAGACATCATGACGACATTCAAACGGAACATACTAGGACAGGGAGCAGTAGCAGTCATCCAAGGATCGCAACTTTTGTTTAAATGGAGAGGGGGAGGAAGTACATAAGAGTCTGAGAGAACAGGAAGAATTTTGGGGTAGATCGCAAGGGATGGTTTAGGGAGCCAGAAAGGGTTTAGGGTTTCAGGACCGGGATGGGTGTTAAACCAGGATATATGGGGTTAGGGTAGCACAGGGGAAATAGCACAACATCTAAAGGTTTTCTAGGTTTACCAATAGGGAGGGTCTAGGGCTTCGGAAAGGGTTTAGGGTTTAAGGGGTGGGATGAGTGTCAACAGCTAAAGCTTTTCTTGGTTTCCAGGACCCATCCGGCAGGTACCCTTACAGGGTCTGAGAGGAAAAGGATTAGCGGGGCAACATTGCGCTTGAATAGACGAAGTAAGACAGGATAACTTAGGCAGGGGAGAGGGGTGGTATATCCTTCCTCATGGAATTAATCAATGACGCCTTCTCGGACCTCCCATCCATAATGGGGAGGAGTGTGTGTGTATCTTTCATGTTTTCCATTTTGACTTGCCGGGGGAATAGGAACCGGACTGTTGCTCCCCAGAATGGTAGGAGCCAGAACCATAAGGTTCTGATT